AATGTTATCACTGGGCATTTAACTTACACAGACATTATTTTTCCAGTGAGAACAGGGTATGAACCCCTACAACTAGCTTATTAATTCTTTCAAGGTTTTATTTTATAATCAAAGAACACAAACTCACATTCAGTGTAACAAAGGATTTTATTTTTATTTGTTAAATTTTCAATTGCTTTGGTTAAATACAAACTCATAAGTTTCTAGCTAGGTGTAATATAGCCTTCAATACAAGTATTCTTTCCCAGACACACCTAAATTTTATTTAAGTAAATACAAATTTTCGCAGGATTTCATGATACCTTTGTGAATTATGTACCAGTAGATTTTTTAAACAACTATTTCTAAATTAAAGATTATAACACGATTGAATACCTGCAAAATAGGCTGAACAAAATGGTAGTTTTGATGACCTACTCTGACACAAATATCATGTGACACTGAATCACACAGATGGTTCAAAAACTCAGCTGCATTGTAGCTACAAACTGTGATGAACAAAATGGTTGTTTTGATGACCTACTCTGACACAAATATCATGTGACACTGAATCACACAGATGGTTCAATAACTCAGCTGCATTGTAGCTACAAACTGTGATGAACAAAATGGTTGTTTTGATGACCTACTCTGACACAAATATCATGTGACACTGAATCACACAGATGGTTCAAAAACTCAGCTGCATTGTAGCTACAAACTGTGATGAACAAAATGGTTGTTTTGATGACCTACTCTGACACAAATATCATGTGACACTGAATCACACAGATGGTTCAAAAACTCAGCTGAATTGTAGCTACAAACTGTGATGAACAAAATGGTTGTTTTGATGACCTACTCTGACACAAATATCATGTGACGCTGATAGCCACAAATGATTCAAAACTCAACTTCCTATAAACCTGGATGAACAAAATGGTGGTTTTGATGACTTACTCAGATATAAATGTCACCTAACTTTAACTCACAAATGGTGTATCCTCGGGTAAATTAGAATTAAACTTGTTTGGTTACTATTCTTTCTATATCTTAATTTCTCTGTGTAGAAAGTTAAAGATAAATCCGTTATTTTCAATACATGTAAATGATTTGATCAAATTTTGATACAATATATCATATTTTCTATTTAGGAAAAAATAACTGAAAATTTACAAATATGTGCACTCAAATTTTAATGTGAGGAAAATACGGACTAAATATTATTTTTTTCTATTAAATTAGTCTGTTCTACTGCAATGATTGATAAATCTGTTTGATTTCTCGATAACTTCACAACATAAAGCAGAATTGTTGGTATTGGTGTTTACACTGACAGGGAAAACAACAGTTACTTAAAACATTTCTTAGATAAATGACATTAAATAAATGTATGCTATGTTGATCAGACTCATGAGCAGGTAACTGTACAATGTGATTAGACTGATTTCTAAATCCCTTGTCATTATACCTGTTACTGTCACAATATGTTAAGATCACATTATGTACACTCACACTGAGTACTGCCATTTTAAGGTCAACAAAACACAATACATTTTATAAAAAGAGAGAAAATTGAGAATAATTGACTTGTTTATTCATTTCATTTACCGTGAAGAGTTTGACTCAAAGGAAATTAAATTTACTTGTAGGTTTTTTTTTAACTTTTGAGTATTTATTTTAATGTAAAATGAAAAGTTCATTCTTTTTACCTTGGCCGTACCATCAAAGATGGTAGGGAAAGGTATATTAAAGGGAAAATGTCTGTCGTCGTTGTCGACCTCATTATTAATTATTGTGTGTGCACAATAACTTTCCTAATTCTATTCCAAAATTTATCGAACTTGGTCACCTAATTCATCAGTATAAAATCTTTCCTTAGTATGAATGACAGATGTCCTGCTTTTGTGAATTGATGATTTGAGAGGGTGAGGCTTGATTAAAATTTAAAAATGTTCACTATGTAATTACTGGTGTGTTATAGAATGGAATGTTGTGAATATCCAACAGATATTTTGCATAATTACCATAGTTATATTTGCATAACTTGAAACAGGTTGTTTTTTGTTAGGAATTAGAATGGACAATTTAGGAATTTCATTTACATGTACATGTAGGTAATTTGCATAATTAGTAAACCTCAGTTTATTTTTCAGTTATTGCAGCTCAAAGACTGACACTATAATGTTAACGTCATAATTTGCAGAACTTGTGTTATTACCATTTGAAGCGAGAGAGTTGTCACCTGCGCATGCGTCAGATTGCTACATCGTGTCATTGTTTACAACAAACGACTACCCATGAGCCTTTGCATTTTTAGCGTGTGTTGTTATATCGTCGCTTGGGACTCAATTCCTGCGTATGCGCAGGTGATGACCCTCTCGCTTTAAGTAAAACTCCAATTTATAGATTTAAATATAACTCCAATTTACAATTTTCATGAATATTTGACAAATCTTTCTGACAGTGTTTCTGTATTTTGGGTTTTACAGGAACAAGACCGAACTGGACGAAGTACACGTTTCTCAGGGCTGTCAAATTTCTTTTCCTTTGGTAAAAATAAAAACAGGAATCATGATAAGGATCTTGGAAGGTCTTCAGCTCAAAAGGAATTGCCACCAATAAGTCCTGGACCGAATTCACTTGTAACAACACCAGTAAATACAACCCCAGACTCAAATTCAACAGAAAAAGAAGACATTATTCTGACCAAACCAAAGAGCTATAAAGATTTTCAGTGAGTTTTATGTTCAGAATATATAATTATTATTTATTAACAACTTACTGTAAAATACTTATTTTCACTTGGAATATAACGCCTTTTATGCTGGAGGATTGATTCTGTGAAAATAAAATCCAGTAAATATTTTTTTTTTCCTATACATTCAACTCGTCAAATATCAGTGAAAATAATTGTGTACACAACACCCAAGATGTGTTTTCAGTGAAAATTTATTCCAGATAAAATAAGTATGTAGAATATAGTGTACCCTAAAATCAATGTTTTGTTTCACTCATATACCTTCCTATTGTGTTGTGGATTCTCTCCAAAATAATCTGGAATTATGTTATCTATTATGACGCCTCAGTGGTCAATGGGTGACTGTGATGTCTATTGACGTTTTTCCTAACATTTGACAGTTACCTGTTTTCTGCCTAAGCAATCAACTGGTACTTGCCACAGAGATGAATGTGTGACTGCCCCATTCTTTGTGACATTGGAAAACTGTTAATGCATAGTTAATGAGCAAAAATTAGTCAATATTTCCCGACTATTGTGGAGAAATAAGACCCATAAATGAATCAATAGGTGACCTGGCTACTAATGCCTAGGTATGTTGCTAGTAATATCTCATCATGGTCAGCTACTTTATTGACTGTACGATTTGATTGGTTGACCATATCTGAATGGATAATGAAATATTATAGGCATATATCAAGTAACTTACAGTGAATGAAATGCTACATTATAGTTTCTATCTAAACATGGTGACAAAATAATCTTGGTGTGTTACAGTGATATATCGCCTTGCATTAGGATGGCTATGGATTAATATTCTTGCTCAGACCATGAAACACATACAGGTTTGGGATAACTGCTTCTTATCAGGTGGGGGGACGATAAAAACTGTTGCTTAAATTTAGAAATTAATTGATTCTCATGTCTTTTCTTCTTCAGGGATGAAGTTGAGAAAGCCAAATTGTCTGGTGACTACAAGACTATCTTAGAGTTCCTAGAAATAACTTTCAGTTCATTTCACAATTTGAATTTGACATTCAAGGTAAGTTTTTCACTTGTACAATGTACTTTCAACTGAATCTGCACAATGTAAAATAATTTAATATTGGTATAATATACTGTTGCTGTTATAAAAATGCATCAGTTGCAAATTTTCCTTGAAAGCCTTATTTGCATATTATTAGTTATTTAAAACACAGTGTTTGATGATTTTGCGTGATATGAAAATAAAATAGAAGCATTTGGGTTTAAAGTCATTTTTTAGAGCTAGGGAGGCGTCACCTGAACATGCGTCAAATGGCCATAGCGTGCCAATGTCAACAAGCATCTACCCATGAGCCTTTGTGTTTTTAGCGTGTGTTGTTATCATCGCTTGGGACTTAATTCCTGCCACATGCGCAGGTGACGAGCCTCTCGCTTCACAATTCCCGGATATGTGAAAGAATTCTGTTATTTTTGTTATAATCAAAAACTTGATGTCTTGTTGAGAAGTTTTCATTCTATGTAGTTTAATATTACTTCTCAACCTTTACAGAAAAACCCAAGCAAAGAGTACAACACACTGGATATCTCAGGAGTAGATCAGGATTTCCTTAATAGTGTATATGAATGTATGGATGTTGTCCCGAATGATATCAAAAAAGCTGTCTTGAAAGCCATCATTAATAGTTTACTCAAAGACATGAAAAAGTAAGTATACATATTTAATTGTGGTATATGTTTAATTAATTAAATTGGAATGGATTAATTTTCTAGTATGGCAATTAATGTGCCAACAAATGTTATTCCCTGTGTACTGGGCAGAAAACTGTTTAATCATTGACTTTTGTGAATTCCCCTGTAATAGCGGCCAGCATAACATGCAATAGCACTGCTTTAGTGGTTGTTCACTGTGTGTCATAGATGGTGGTTTTTAGTCTCTGTTTTGAAGCAGCCTGAAAAATAGGGACTGTGACCTCAGTGTTCTCGTACATCTATCCCCACCTGTATCTCAGACGTGCCTAGACACATTTATTTTAGGATCTGATTCAAGATTGCCTAGTGGCAGCCATTTCATGCAAAAAATTCATTATAACCATTGCATTTCTGACATTCCGGAACTGGATCTTGTCATGCATGGAGAGATAGTGTTCGAACTTGGTATATAATTTCCGCCATTCCGGAACTAAATCTTGGTCATGCAATGACAGATTTTCTTTAAACTTGGTTCATACATTGAATACATGTATTAAAGGACCTTAATTCATGCACATCATGGTATTCGTAAGATTGCACGCATCATGCAGTGTTTAATCATAAATAAAATTGCAAGTATTAAATTATTAACCTTGTTCGTTTTCAAAACCATATATACGTATGAATATTAAAATTGTATTTACGTGTTGAATTTTCAATACAGTGCTCTTTAGATGTCGTAAATATTTTAGTATCACATATATATATATATATATATATATATGTCTGTACTAGCTAGTATGTGGTAATGTTACATTGTGTCGCTGTAGAACCTATCATTGGTATTTTTATGGTAACAGAGATTGTTGAAATTTTTACCTCTTGGTCATATTTATGTTGCATATAATCAAGATGAAAAAATATTACATTTTATTTTATTTGAGTAAATTTCAGTGATGGTATTCAGTACTGTATACTGATCAAGAAATATGTCAATGTTACTTACACATTTACTGTGCAGTAAAATAAGCCCCTATAATCATAGATTAGAGAACCTATCGTTGGTATTTTTTATGGTAACGAAGAATGTTGAAATTTTTACCTTTGTAAGCTTGGTCATATTTATGTTGTGTATAATTAAGATGAAAAAATATTACATTTTATTTTTTTTTAGTAAATTTCAGTGATGGTATTCAGTACTGTATACTGATAAAGAAATATGTTCCTGTGCAGTAAAATAAGCCCCTATGATCTTAGATTATAGAAATACGTTTTGCAAGAAATATATTAATATATAGTGTTCCCCAGGTAATTTTGTTCAGTTTTATTTTCCAATTTCATTGATTAAATGTAGAATCCATTAAACAACTGGTTTATTATATTACACCTCATTTGTTAAGATATATTTAAAATTGATGTATCAGTATAGAAGTGGTTGAGACAATTTTAAAATGAAAAAAAAAAAAGAATTATTAATTTATTCAACATTGAAAATTGTTTTAATGGTGTTATTATTTTATATTAGGTTCTGTCATAATAGAGAGAATATGCAGTAAACTGTTCAATATAGAAAAGTTAGTAATTTGAGTGTGTTAACAAGACGATAGGAGACTTATATTTCATGAGAGTCACTGAATCCCTGTCAAAAAACAAAATAAAATTATTACTGTTACACATATTTTCATATTTCTTGTCTCTGAGTGTTACCGGTAGTACTAAATATTTTTAAGAAATGAGGTATATAATGCTAAGCTGATAGCATGCATATGTAAACTTAAAACTATGTGTGACTGTGAGTTGTTTACTATGTTTTCAACTGCTAACTAATGCTAAACATAGTAAAAAGAAATTATTAAGTGTTTTTCATGAGTTCGGTGAAAACAGTTTTTTTGAATTCCAAAATATCGCATATCACTTTTCAAATAAGAAACTTCAGAAGCATTTAAAACGTTACCGCACTACGTAAGTCATGTTTAATGTGAGTCCCATGTGACGTGTACAACATGTGTAAAATAATTTACTGCCTATGATGACATATGACTGTATTGTTTACTTTGCATGATGGGTAATTATATTTAATTAATGATTGACAATAATTTATCCAGTGATGCAGACAATCTATAGTGTTTGTCACATTTATTAGCTCTTGCTGAAGACAGAATGTTATCAAGCGTGAAACAATTTACAAAATGTGCACATCATACATAGATGATTTTTTTTAATCATTTTTTTTTAGTACTTTTTTTTTCTATCACACAACAATTACAAAAAAAACAATTACAAAGACAAGTAATTAAGAAAGGAAGATGAAAAGCAAGTACACTTAGTCATAAATATAATCTTGCAGGATGTCGTAATTGAAATGAATAGTCATGCACCTAATGTCGCAACTAACAAACCCCATTTGTTTTGAAATTTTTCCATGGCTTTATTTTTACATGCTATATATTGCTCTGCTGAAAAAAATACTTTTAAAGAAAGCTATAAAGTTAGAGAAAAGTAAAGTCTCATACATAGATGATAATGATAATAACTTTATTCAAACACATCTACATAATAAAATAAGAAAAAATACAAAATACAAAAAATACAAAGAATGGCAACTTCAACCTCAACTGCAGTGATTTTGGTGATTACCGGTAGTTGTGAATCCCAAGTTTATAATCTTGGTAGTGAAATTATTTTATTTTCACAGAAGTTATGAATTCATCTGTCACTAAATTACTTTTTGGTTATTTATTTGTTTGTCTGCATCGAACATCATTTTGAATCTCATTACCTAGTGACATCATCTGAAACGACCACCGTGACTATATTCTATAAATCCATAGTTTCACTACGACCAGTATGGTTATTATTTTCATTATTTATGTGGTGTATCCTGCAGCCGTATTTTCATAAGTTAAGTGATCAAGTGAAATACAGCATGGTTACACTGTATCACTCATGAAAAGAACTTCCATACCTCACAATTGGTAGGTCGAGGCCATGACATAGGTTCTGTCATTATGATGATTTTTTTCAGACTTCACGAAAATTGCACAGAACGTCGTAACAAAGTTAAACAAATGTTCTTAGCAAGCTTTAAATTCTGTCTAATGATTGGTTCTCCCAGTATTTCATTGTATTCTTATGCAAATTATGGTAGATGTGTATTCACCGCAATGGTATTTGATAACAAAAATGTCAACTGGCAAGTGCAGCAAACAAAACAAAATTCAAGAATTTTCCAAACTAAACAATCAGTATATCTCACAGACACTTCCCGTGACTCAGGGCTTCTTTATACTTGCTTTTTATATATCAACATAAAAAATAAATATGACTTTTAATGAAACCAGGTTCCAGTCAAGACTCTGCAATCCAGAAAGTGTCATTGAATTTTCAAACATTTTCATTTCATGGTGTTTTGATGTGTTTTTTAATCTTCATTATTTATGTTACTTTCCTAAAAATATTGCATTGTCATGAAAACAATTATGGTGTTTATTGAGAAAACATTTCGGCTCTTGGTAGCTTTTGATGGTGGTTCAAATGTAACAAATTATTTTGAGTGGCTCTTAGTTGATGGTGAAAGATGCTAAAATAGTAAAATGTGTTGATCTCAGAATACCTTGTTCATACAAGGATTTTATATTCCTCTCCACGTCACTTCTCTCAACACCCTCACATCAAATCAACCAAATGTGACTTGCGATCCCTTCTGATGTTGTCTAGATCAGTTGTGATGACAACCAGGTCATGAAAGTTTGCAAGACCACAGGAAACATAATTAATTAAATTTCATTTCCTTTCATTTTTTTTTTTTATTTCTCGACAGACCACGTAGCAAAGATGATTTACGAGCATATTTGATACTGGTACAGGTAAGTTGACAATTTATATGTATCCAGGCAACACGGCTTTGTTTGTATGTCTTCATGGCAACCAGTGTGATCAGTATGATTATGAACATTCTCTGCCTCAGGCTGACTATAATTGTTGTAATGATGTAGTCTCATTACCTAAGGAAGGTAATATGATTAATTATTCACAAGGGAATATACTTATTATGTCGTTATTGGTGTAATCATTGTACAGCTCTGGTCAATCTCCGGTCAAATGTATTTTAAGCAGATTTTAGGTCAGTGTTACAACTGATATTTTTAACTAAATATGCAAACATCATCAGTCTGTGAATGCTTGAACAGTACAAAGAGAAAACCAAATAATATAGAGATGACATTTTTATCATTTCTGTATAAGAATTTCAGACTGGTTATCAACAATTACTTGCATAGTGCAATGACAATAGCTTATAATAATAGTTTATTTTGAAAACCATCCGTGGTCGTAACTGCAAATGCATGTCTACCGACACACTTAGACATTATGCCAATTTAGCAAAAAACACACTTATGATTCATGTAGTCCTATAAAATCACTCTTTGTTTTGAAACTCGGATTTCACTTACTTCTAGAGCTGGCTGCATGTACCAGTATTATCCATGCACCTGTGGTTCATGGATAATTATAGCCCATGATGTCACTCACGTCAACTGGCTTAATTTACAAACAGATGATGTAATCTCCAATTAATTGTATTCTGAATTCATGTTGACAAAAACTGATATCAATGATTTCTTATGTCGAACCTTGTCTAGAATGCAAAAGTATGAAAAAAAAATGATAAGAGTTTTGAGCAAAATGATTTTGTGATGATATCTTCGATTCTTTATTTATGACGAATATTTTTGTCATTTTTGTTAAAAAAAAAATGTTGTTTTTGACTTTTTCTTGAAAATGGCTAGCTGAGTTAGTCAAAAATATGGAGCTGTTCATTTTGTCAGATTTCCTGTTTAAAAGGCTAGGCCAATGACTTTGATATAGCTTAGGGTGGACCTCAGTCATATTTGTTTCTTTTTGGATTATACCTTATTTTCTCTAATATTTTTGTGATTTTTAGAGGAAAATGCTATTTTCGACCTTTTCTTTAAAATGGCTAGCCCAAATGCTTTGATATTTTATATGCTTTGAGTGGACCTCTGATAATTTTTTTTCATTTTGTAATAATAAGTTTAATTAAATATTTTTGGTAAAAAATGCTATTTTCAAATATATAGTATAGCAAAGCTATATATGCCAACTGGCTGCTTGTTTTTGCTTTTTTTTTGTTTCTCAATAACATCTTAGCCCATTAATTATAACTGAGTGTTACATGAATGCTTATTAAAATTGTCTAAATTTTTTATTTTTTTAACTTTTCATGTCATAATCCGTTCATATTATATTTTTTTATATATTGGAATATTAAATTACAGTGATATTATATAATATGCCTTGTTCTTTTTGGATTGTAATTTTTTCAGCTTATTGTTTTAGTAAGTTGATCACTGTCTTGTTACATATACAAGGAAATGTCAACAAATAATTAATACTGTTAGATGGCCGAATGATTACTCATAGAAAGTGTTTTAAATAAATTATTATAAATACTTTTACTATGCTGGTTTAGTGATGATATTTACACTTTATATTTTCTAGTATGTTTTTTATATTTTGTTGCCAACTTCAAATGTTCTTTTTTCCTTATGTCCACAGTTCTACTACAAACTGTAAATGTATGTGCATATTTTGCCACAGAATTCAATTTTTTACAATACCTAGACAGTATATGAGTTTAATCAACACTATAAAAAAGCACAGTATAGTTAAGTTGCTTTTGAAGTTAAATTCCACAAAAACAAAAGTATATTTTCCCTAAAATTCGCTAAAATGCAATAAGACCTTTGGCTCCAAAAAAGGGTTGTACATTACTCTTTATAAATATTCTAGTATAATGAATACGGTATCGTTGGTTATTTTTTATACATTCCTCGACTTATAGATGAATTTAGATCAAATTCATTCATTTTTTTTACCCGCTTCAAGTGCCTTAAACATAAAATCTTTTGTTTTTTCTTCTCCCAGAATCCACAGTTTACGGGTATATCTACCTATGTCATATTTGCGCATCTATTACGACAGATGGCCGCCCTGCCCGACCAGGACCATCATTTTCTAGTGCATTGGTTCAAACTGTAAGTAAATTAAAGAAAAGACACTGGGTGTGTAATTTTCAATGTGTTATGTAGTAACTAATGAAAACATGTCTGTCAATCAGTTTTATTGTCATCGGTGATGATACTTTTTATGTTTATGATCCTATATATGAACATTTTTTTATGTATTCTTTTTAATAATTTCTTTTTTGATTTTGAATGAATATATGTTTTATTTTAAATCTTTTGGAAAATTATTAAGAAAATGTTGCAGGTTTTTTATTTTTAGGTGACAAAATTAAATTTTGGTTTTCACCGGGTCAATGGTGTTTTGACATATTACGTGTATAGTATGTCATTGCATGTTCTACTCATTCAAATTATATTTTGTGATAACAAAAACAGTATTTTACACTACTACTTTCTCAATCCTACGATTAAGGTAAATTTCAGCAGTACAATTGTCTATACCAGTATTTTTAGCTCCCATTCGAACACTGTTCGAAAGCGAGGACTTATGAGTTGACCTATGTGTGTGCGTGCGTGTGTCCTTGCGTGTGTTCAGATCGACCTATAGATATGCCTAAACTGATTACATTCAAACTTCACACATACATCATACATAATATTTATATACATACGCACATGACTTTATTTCATGATCTGATTCAGGATGGCTGAATGGCGGCCGTTTTTGTGCTGAAAAATCATCAAAATCAAGCATTTCTTGGCTGTTTACAGATGGGTTTTGTTCAAACTTGGTACATTCATTAGACATTATGGTGCCTTGATGCACATCACTTTGTTTTTTGGATCGGATTCAAAATGGCAGACTGTTTTAATTAATGCTGTTCCAGAGCAATATCTCTCAATAGGGACAAGTACTCATTTGACGATCAGATACAAGATGACTGAATGTCAATCATTTTAATGTTAAAAATTCATCATAATCAAGCATTAGCTTCTGGATCCATATCTCTGACATGTTTGTGTTCAAACTGTATAATTATAAACAAAACTATATATCTTAAATTTGATAACTAACAGGGACTATGCCATGCATGGCTTGTTCTTTCAGGTTATCCCATTTGAATTGTACAGGTTCTGACATTTTGTGGATTCACAATTTCTGAGTGCTGTGATAATTTAAGAGCAAATTTCCTGCAATTTGCACATTGTAAACCTTTTACTTTTCACTGCTATAAATTACCATGAAATCAAATTTAACGCAGTTGAAATTAACACGATAGTCACTGTGTCTCACTGTCTTAAAGATTCCCATGAAATGTTACACTGCTACTCAATTACATCACATCCATGTACAGTAATAGCCAAATAACGTCAATAAAAAATCATCTCTAATACCTTTCTCTATAAAATGTACAAGAAAGTAACCGAAAATGTACGACTAATGTTTTTTTTGCATATTACAGTATTATTTGGGCTGTTTTAGTGAAAATTTTACGGTTATAAAATTCACACATTATTTCTGACATTTTAGAAAGCCAAATTGTCTCCAAATGGCTATAAAACCTGATCTATGATGCAATATTTTTTCACGGATAATTGATCGCGTTACCATTATATGCTTAAACTGTCTTGAATTTACGCATACTACTTACTTGAACACAGCTGCATTGTGGATGTAATTGTCTGCATTATCTACGTCTATACATCAGCCTTTGTTTGTGGATTTCATTCACTCTGTGTGTAAGTCCCTGGCGTTATTGATTGCTATTGATTCATATTGATCCTAATATCTTGTCGCCAAAAGAATGCGTTAACGAAACCTAAAATCAAGTAGACCAAAAGGCTCTTATTATCGTTTAGTTCAATATATACCGTTTTGGCTCTATTAGAAGTGCATGTACCCTGGTACTTATTTTAATGATATAAGTGTGTATATGGTCAAAATAAGCATCTCAAAAAACATCACATAAATGTAATGATCCAGTATACAATATACAACTCTATTATAAGTACCATATATGTAAATGATGGAGGTATATCTATTGTCAAAATAAGTTATATTTCATTAATTTTTCAATAAATGCAATATTAGTATATGTGATTTTAAGTGTAAAAATGCTACCAGTATTTATGTTTAAAAAACCCATATCACTAACATTAAAAACTGTTCATTTCATGACAAAGTCTACAATTTTCTATTTAAACACAATCAAAATATAAAATTTATAATTGTATTCAGGAAGTATATAATACAATAACTGAAATGTAAAAAAATCGTGCAAACATCTGTTCATGATAAATATAAATTATTGGTGTTATCAAGGATTTATAGGATGACTGTTTGCAGCTGCTGGGTGCGCTCTAAAAACAGATTTTTACCAATTAATCTCGGGATATTCAGTAACTTTTGGAAAAAAATCTCAATTTACCACATTTACTAATGACAGAGAGAGTATAGCACTGGTGTGACATGCGAGGAAGATCTATAAATTCAAAATCATGCAAATTGCAAGGTCACAGAATTGCAAGACAAACTTACATTTTTTTGAAATGTTAACTTAAGTCTGTGAACAAACTGCTAAGTGTTTTCTTCAAGCCATTTGCTAGTGTCATACTATTATTTAACCTTTAATTGCTATTTACGCAAAGGTCACTGTTTTCTGTGATGCTGTTAATCCTCCGTAACCATAGCTATATACGTATACTCAAGACTTTATATGATGACAATATTAATATTAAAAATTCACCAAAATCAAGCACTTTTACCGTTTCGGAACTGGATCTGGTTGTGAGAAATTTTATTCAAATTTGGTACATTCTTCGATTGTTATAGGACCTTGATGCATGTCATTTTGTCTGTCAGTTCAGATTCAAAATTGCCAGCTGGTCACCATGTTAGTGAATATGCAGTTTTGGACTATATCTCTGACCGTTCACATTTAAACTTCACTCATACATCGGACATTTTTTAAACTTGAGAACACACAAGGACTATGTAATGCAATTACATGTACTTGTTTCAAAACAAACTTTGTGGATAAAATGAGTTTGGGTATTAGCATACTAAGTATTAGTTCTCATTCAATCCTCTCCATGTCTGCCAACACTTGAAGAGATCTCCATCTGGCTCTGTCTGCAACTACTCTGGGAGCTGAGGTTTTCTGTCTTCTGCATGGTAGCATATTGGTACTTTAATAATAGTGAAATTCTTATTTTTTTGCAGACTATCACCAGAGAATTTTAAAGCTCTCGTCCAGAGATTGTTGCAGTTTATCTCAGTGAGGTTGTTCCCACCGCACCCCGCTGAATTACCACCTATGAATAAATGTACGTGGTGGATACCATCTGCAACTAAAGTGTTAGCACTGCCATGTAAGTTCATTCATTGAATTTTGCAGTGCGAATGCATTGTATATTGCGAAATTTGATCTTTATATTATTAGCATCTCATTTGCATCTCATTTGCATCTCATTCGCATCTCATTCGCATCTCATTTTATGTGTACGTCATAAATATTACATTTCATCACCTGTATTAGACGGCTTGTAAATCTGTTTTGATGTAAGCTGCTAAAACGTTACAGTTATTAACATTCGTTACCAAAGTGTTGGCATACTAACAATAGAATCAAATGTCATAAATTAGGATGTTGAACAAAATTTGGAGTAGGTCATAATCAGATGAGGAATGTGTGCCATTAACTTACACTATTAACTTTATTAGTGTATTTGCTCTGCTAGCAATGCATGTACTTTATATAGGTATATGTAAATGACAGACGTAGGTGTATGGTTAAAATAAGTCACATTTTAATAAGCCATTTATATTATTACTAATTTTTAATTTATGTCAAATGCGCTGTTAATCAAGCTAATGGGATATTAATTTTTTTTATTCTTTCTTCAAAAGATACCATAATTAAAACTAAAGCTTATTAATAACATTTTATTCTGTCATTAATGTCCTTAAAACAGCTGTGGATGAAGACAGTTATGGTTATGGTTCAAATTAATTACAGTATTCATTAAAATAACCTATACATTGACTCCCCTGGATTTGGAAAAAAAGGGGAAATTCTCCCATCATACTAAAAAAGTGGGGATTTTGTTTTTCAAAATGTGGGGGGGGGGGCTCCCCTCCCTCATTCTGAATACAAGGGTGAATATTTTAATTATAACTCAGTAACAATTTCTTCTGCCAGTAATTGTTTTACTGTATTCGTTTTTATTGTATGCTAATTTCTGTGATTTTCAAATCACTTATATCAAATATTTATGGCACTAACCAGCTAACCTAATTTTCACCCAACACCCCCACCCCCACACACACACAGTAGTTTGTTTGTTTCATTGTGTATTTAAAAGATGTATGTGCGTTTTCTTTGTCAGCCATATTGAAAAATTAATATTCGCAAGAGTGTCCGGTAATTCACAAAAGAATAAATTGTTAAATACTCATGAGTTCCTTTTTAGTTTACAGCTCAGACCAGTAAGTCTTTTAACAATAATTTAATTCTAGATTGGAAATACTGTGTATTTGTAGTTTTCTTAAAATTAATAACTAGGAAAAACAATTGTAGGAAAATCATGCACACATTCACCAAGAATTAGTGGGGGAATCCTTAAAAAAAGTGATAAGTGTGTAATTATCAGTTATTTCTTTCCATTCTAGATGCTGCCAATACATTGTCTACTCCGCCCATTATCCCATATACAGATTTCTACAATTCTACCCTGGATAATATGGACCTGATGTCAGAGTACTATGCATGGCAAAAACCATCATCCAGTCAAATGTAAGTATAACTTTGCTGCTTGAAACTTGTATGTGGGCATATACCGTAGTTAGTGTGAAAATGAATTCACTCAATTACTTGCATCGTTGGTATATGTGCCGATTTAGCACACAATAAAGTGGACAGTGGAGTACATAATTATGTAATCTCAGTTTAAAGTATTTTAATCAAGGTATTAAACTGACGTAACAGTTGGATATGTGTGATATGTATGTGCACTAATGATAACTGATCTTTAACTTGGAGAGTATTTGATGTTTGTTTCTTATTACAGGTTTACTTTCTGTCAATATCCATACATTCTGAGCTTAGCAGCAAAGAGGACAATAATGCAGAAAGATTCAGAACAGCAAATGATAATAATGGCTAGGGTGAGTTTTTTTAGTATTATAATAATCATCATAATAATAATAATTGTTTATTGCATCTTTAGAAATATGCATTTCTTTCAGTATATAGCAATAGAAATATTAATCAATACAGAAAAATAAAATAAATATTATGTTGTAGTATTAATACCCTTCTTTCTTCTCACCACCCTTCTTCCCTTCTTCCCTTATCACCTCCTTCCTTCCTTCATCACTACCCTTCATCACCACTTACTTTTCTTCATCGCCACCCTCATTTCCTCATCAACACCCTTCCTCCCTCATCACTTCCCTCATCACTTCTCTCATCACTTCTCTCATCACTTCTCTCATCACTTCTCTCATCACTTCTCTCATCACTTCTCTCATCACTTCCCTCATCACTTCCCTCATCACTTCTCTCATCACTTCTCTCATCACTACCCTTCTTTCTTCATCTCTATCCATCTTTCCTCATTACCACCCTCCTTTCCTAATTGCCACCCTCCTTTCCTAATTGCCACCCTCCTTTCTCCATTAACACCCTCCTTTCCCCATCACCACCCTTCTTTCCCCATCACACCCTTCATGGCTTCTTTCTCTCTCACCTTCATTTTCTAAATCCTGATAATAAAAGTACATGTATAAAGGCATGGCAGCATCAATTAAATATTCTGGTTTTTTTTTCATTAAAGCATTATGAAATAAATAATAATAATAATTGTGTGCAGATGCTTTTAAATGATTTATTTCAAATCAACAATCAGGCCTTATGTCTTCTTTGTGACACAAATATTTTAGCTTAATTCATAGTGAATGTTTTATGAATACAACCCAATCCACTTATAAGTAGCAATTTATATAAGCTTTCTATCTCGTTATTGATTAATTCATTTTATAAAAGAGTTTAGTTATAACAAGTATCTTGCAAATATAGGTGAAAGAAGGGATCAAGGGAGATGGTGGGCTTAAATCATTTTGGTGCAATGTTTTGCAAATTTCGACATACTTTTCCATAATTTAATAAACTTTATTTTTAATTGGCTATAGGTCTTGATAATTTTCACAATATATGGAAAAAAATTATACAGATTTATTTTTTAAAAGTTGACAAAAAGTTTACTTTGGCAATCAAAGGGTTAAGATACTATGGAGCATTAAGTAATTGTTTTGACATTCTTTGAGAGCACTTTCTTTTATTAGCTCCGCTGTTGACTTTGTCGAGTGGAGCTTATCATATGAGTGATTGTTCGTCGGCGTCCGTATCAATGTTTTACTTTTTCGACTTCTTCTTGAAAACTGCAAGCCTGAATGCTTTGATACTTGGTGTGTATGTACCTGGGGTAGACCTCTCTCAGATTTGTTCATTTCGTGATGATATCTTTAATTCTCTAATTTTGGTGAATATTTTTGTAATTTTTGGTAAAAAGTGATATTTCCAACTTCTTGTTAAAAACCGCAAGTCCAATTGCTTTGATATTACATATATAGATACTACATGTGGACCTCTCTCAGATTTGTTCATTTTGTAATGATATCTTCAATTCTCTAATTTTGGTGAATATTTTTGTAATTTTTGGTAAAAAGTGATATTTTTGACTTCTTGTTAAAAACCGCATGTCCAATTGCTTTGATATTACATATATAGGTACTACATGTGGACCTCTCTCAGATTTGTTCATTTCGTGATGATATCTTCAATTATCTTCTAATTTTGATGAATATTTGTCATTTTTGGTAAAAAGTGATATTTTTGAATTCTTGTTAAAAACAGCAAGTCCGATTGCTATACATACTATACATATTGTTCGTTTTCTAATGATATCTTCAGTTCTTTAATTGAAATGTGCCTTGCTAACAGCGGAGCTATCTCAGCCGAGAGGCTGCTTGTTTATGAACATGTGTTTGACCCTCTGTGCGTGGGTTTGGCATCAGACTCCTTTATGAAGCTTCATTGGAAAACAATTATAGGAGAATTAATCGGCAATAAGTAGCCATGGCAACCAATTCTGTCAATGTACAGAGTTTTTTTGTCTCTACTAGTATTTACCATACATGTTCCATAGCACAATAGCGCTAACAATTTATGGCGTAACTTCCAATGGGAAATAATTTCATGAACAGTTGCATTGCTTGATATGTTTCCTGAATTTTATTTTTTATTAAAAGTTCAGTCTCCCGTATCTTTGTGCTTAAATGTGAAGGTCGCTGTGAATCACAAAAGTTGGCAGTCTGCATTTTTTTATTTCCATTAGTGCGTGACATATTTTCTCTATTAGTAGCAATTACGTTTACATAAATGACAAAGGTGGTAAGCATACAATAAGAGAAATTTTATATTTTGGTTCTATTAAAATAGAAGAGCAAATAGGTCATTTATTTTGCCACTAAAATATCCAGCTTGTTGAGAGGTCAGTTATCAACCTGATTAAACTGCTGGCGACTTAGATGAGCGGAGCTTATCATATGAGTGATTGTTCGTTGTTCGTGTCAAATTTTTACTTTTTCGACTTCTTCTTGAAAACTACAAGCCTGAATGCTTTGATACTTGGTGTATATGTACCTTGAGTAGACCTCTCTTAGGTTTGTTCATTTCATGTTGATATCTTCAATTCACTAATTTTGGTGAATATTTTTGTCATTTTTTGTAAAAAGTGATATTTTCGACTTCTTGTTAAAAACTGCAAGTCTGATTGCTTTGATATTTTATATATAGGTACTACATGTGGACCTCTCTCAGATTTGTTCATTTCATGATGATATCTTCAATTTTCTAATTTTGGTGAATATTTTTGTCATTTTTTGTAAAAAGTGATATTTTCGTCTTCTTGTTAAAAACAGCAAGTCTGATTGCTTTGATATTATATATATACATGTAGGTACTACATGTGGACCTCTCTCAGATTTGTTCATTTCATGATGATATCTTCAATTCTCTAATTTTGGTGAATATTTTTGTCATTTTTTGTAAAAAGTGATATTTTCGTCTTCTTGTTAAAAACAGCAAGTCTGATTGCTTTGATATTATATATATAGGTACTACATGTGGACCTCTCTCAGATTTGTTCATTTCATGATGATATCTTCAATTCTCTAATTTTGGTGAATATTTTTGTCATTTTTTGTAAAAAGTGATATTTTCGTCTTCTTATTAAAAACAGCAAGTCTGATTGCTTTGATATTATATATATAGGTACTACATGTGGACCTCTCTCAGATTTGTTCATTTCATGATGATATCTTCAATTCTCTAATTTTGGTGAATATTTTTGTCATTTTTTGTAAAAAGTGATATTTTCGTCTTCTTGTTAAAAACAGCAAGTCTGATTGCTTTGATATTATATATATAGGTACTACATGTGGACCTCTCTCAGATTTGTTCATTTCATGATGATATCTTCAATTCTCTAATTTTGGTGAATATTTTTGTCATTTTTTGTAAAAAGTGATATTTTCGTCTTCTTGTTAAAAACAGCAAGTCTGATTGCTTTGATATTATATATATAGGTACTACATGTGAACCTCTATATATTTGACTTTTTAATTTTGGTGAATATTTTTGTAATTTTTGGTAAAAAGTGATATTTTCGACTTCTTGTTAAAAACATAAGTCCCATTGTTTTGATACTATACATATTGTTCATTTTCTAATGATGTCTTCAGTTCTTTAATTGAAATGTCCATCGCTCACAGTGGAGCTATCCTAGCCAACAGGCTGCTTGTTTTTATTATTTTTTTTATCTCATATATTTGGTGTTATCTTAGCTATTGCTCCATTCATTCATGATTATAAAAACTTAAAAAAATCTCTTGCAAAAAAATAATTAAATACACATTTAAAAAAAAATATATAAAATACAATAAGCCCAAAATCTTGTTTATATTCAGATAGGCATTACTAAGAAAATGGACTCTTTTTATGTTGCTATACTTGCTTGGGTAATTTCAAAGAAAGCAAGTAGGCATATTGTATGAACAGTAATGTGCTGAATAATAATAATGTTCACATTATTGATTTGCAGCGGAGCCTTGTTGCTAAGGTGCAGCAACGACAGATTCCTGATATGGGCATGTTGTTTTTGAACCTTAAGGTCAGAAGGTCACATTTAGTGCATGACTCTCTTCATGAAGTAAGTTGAAGTATAATATACTATTATCATTATTCAATTTTATTTGCCCACAAATTTACTGTAACTGTACATGACTGGCAATACTAGTATTAGTTTTCCAATACACACTCCTAATTTCAATACTGCCCTCAAGAGTTCAATTTTACTTTACCTTTTGTTTTATGCTACTCCACACTGCTATGATTCACAGTTGTCATGTTTAGTGTGAAGTATCCCTAGCTGATATGGTATGGGAATTGTTGTAATATTCAGGTACATGTTGTTGTGTTATGCTTATTTTTAACAGGACATTGAGAACGACAAATTTTAAATGAAAGTTCACAGACACTTTAGATATTGTGCTTTATTAACATAAGTAAATTGTAAGCCTGGTTTTATAAAATTATTATTTCTCTGTTTTTTAGTCTGTTCACATGAAGTCCGAAAACGGGGGCTATTAATTTGGGTTGTTCTGTCCGTCCGTCCGTCCGTACGCCCGGAGCTATATCTCGAACACCCATTGACAGATTCCATTCAAACTTCACATGAAGACAATACATAATGTCCTACATACTTTATGATCAGAGAAAAAAATGGCCGACTGGCGGCCATTTTGGATGTAAAATTTGCTATTTCTGATACCTAAACGTGTCCGCAGCAGTTTCTCGGAGATGACTGGGCCGATTTGGATCAAAGTTGATATGGTGATTATACATATAGGGTTATAGGTGCACGTCATATTTTTTTCATGATTGGAACAAATATGGCCGACTAGTGGCCATTTTGTTTTTCATGGTACCCATGCTACTTTCTCTTGAATGCAATGAACGTTTTTCTATAAATTTTGTACAAAGACAGTATACCAATAGATACATCAACATGAACATTATTTTTGTAATTTGATTCAGTATGACTGCCCAATGTCCAATTCTTGTGTAAAAGCACTAAATCATAATTTTGTACAAATCCATCTCCTATTAATGGTTTCAATCTAATCTTAATGACTTCATCAGCATCAAATTGATATGTCAGATCACAAAATTTTGGATGGGGATTTTGTTATTAACAATGACTTGTTAGCTCTCAGAGTTGGTAACGTGATTAAAAGATCATGACTTGTTCGTAAAGCTGGTTGATATGATTGATGTCATGGGCTAGTATTATCCATGAATCAACAAATTTGTTGATCTATTTATTTTTCACAGATTGCTGCTCAGAAAGTTGATTTAAAAAAGAAATTGCGAGTGACCTTCGCAGGTGAACCTGGTCTGGATATGGGCGGGCTCACCAAAGAGTGGTTCCTTCTGCTTTTACGAAAGATTTTCAGACAAGAATATGGTGAGATAAAAAAAATCTTAAATGATGACTGACCCCCCCCCCTCCTTCCACATTTGATTTAACTAAACAGTAATATCTTTCACATGCTTGGTTTCATATTTTCATATTTCAAAATATAATATACTAAAACAAAAAATATGTTTGATGGATGTTGGCTGCATTCTAAACACTGATGACTACTTTTCAAGTCACATGACATATCTGACCAATCAAAAATTGATTGACTGTATTATTAACCAATCAGAAGTTGACATTTATGTTTTTACTTTTCAGGTATGTTCTCCTATGATCATAAATCACATTGTTTTTGGTTTAACCATGCATGTACTGATTCTATGCAAGAATTCAATCTTGTGGGAGTGGTATCCTTTTATTTATTGTATTTATTACTGGAATTCAATGTAATTTGTTTAGAAAACTGAGAAATTAAAATAATTACTCGTGTTGAAGGTTTATAATGTTTTAATGTTAAATTTAATGTTTCAATCTATCTTTTGATTTGCTATGTCCAGATTAATTCTGATGATTCTTGCATTAGGAGGTTTGGTTTGGGTTTATCTAGGTTTTTCATTGAGGCAGAACAAAAAAATGATTTGCAGTTATGGGTGATACCTGAATATGTGTTTTCTTTTACTGAATCTACCAATACCGGTAGTTCTGCCCAGACATGAATGACCTCTGAACCCTGGATGTGATTGTTCATTTGTTAGAAATAGAATAAAACTTCCGGTAGAAGTTAGGAAATGCAGTTTTAGGTGCTGGGTTTTGCCAGGAAATGTTCAGCTTAACGAATTACCACAACATATGCATATAGAATAGAATAGAAAATTCAGGCTATGTGTTAAAGACTTAAATCAGTGAAAGTAGAAATTCCACATCAATTGTGTTTTGCTTCTTAACTGTAAATTTATAGTTAATGGGACTAGCGGTGTATAACAGCATTATATTAGATATACACTTCCCGCTAGCTACTTATAAAAAGTTATTAAGTCCAGCAGTTGTACCGTACAACAATCCTAGGTCATCTGTTGGAAGGGCTACATTCACTCTAGATGACTTAGCTGCATTACATCCGGTAAGTCAATTAACAAAGATTTCTTTTTTCAAGGTTTCAACTTAACCAAAATAAAACCCAAAAGATCTGTAGCCAAAATTAACAAGAATTTTAGACATATATATAAACAAAGTTGCACCAAAATTTAACATGAAAAATTATGGCAGTCAAAGAATTAATATATGATGTAGATTACTATTTAAGATATTTTCATTGGAAGATAGAATCAGTAGAATTTATGATCTTGACACTGATTGGTTAGGAAACAAAAGTTGCTGATAGATTGAAATAAATGACTTGTGATTGGCTGGAGCAAATACCATTATAGTGATCTGAAAATGGTAGCTTGCTCAGCGCAATTAGAAAACTAGGTTTTTGATAATTACAGAAACCCCCACCTCATGTCGATCTAACCTTGAATTGCAAATAAAATGTAACACCAAACTGTGCGAAATTAATGAAAATGCTACATACTGCAAAACATGTTAAAATACATACATGTAGCTACATGCTATTTTTGTGAATTTGACTTTATAATCTATGAATTAACAGAATCTTAATAAAGGCTAACAATCTTATTATGTAAATAAATTTTATTTAGAATTAGCAACATCTTGAAAAATATTATTAGCAAAATTATGGATTAATTAGTGTTAGTAGACATAACATGCTAGCTAGAAAAACTTGTTTTACAATATTTTATTTGTACATTTGTGTTTACAGGATTTAGCACATGGTTTGAAGGAATTATTGGAGTATGAAGGCGATGTGGAGGAAGATTTATGTCTCACATTTCAGGTGAACAGTAGTTTTCTAATAACAATAAACATTCCAGAAATTGATATTAATTTATTAGCATGAATCATTGCTATGATGAAGAACTAGTGAATCTACAATGATGCAGTTAATTCTAATTACTGGAAAGTGATAATGATAGAGCTAAAACAATTGCCTCATTATGATGTGAGAAAGACAACAACTGTATTATAACCAAATAAGCATTTATTGTCCTTGTCAGGAGCCTGTTGTCAGATGCCAAGAATAACTTAAAAATAATTTTTCAATATTTTGTTATTTTAATAAACATCTCACAATTTATATATGTATAATCTCAAATCAGCTAATAAAGATGAATTCCCATTTAATACATACTGAGGTATTTTTAAAATGGTGTAGTGTTTTTGTAAATGAGCACCTTCTGTTAAACCTAATCTTGTTGAAAATGTACTAACTTGATTAAAATTACAATGGAAAACAAATAGTATAAACATTATAAATAATGTTGTCCCATGATTCCCTTGTGCAAGCCCAGGGATTGACAGCTTCCCCTTTTAAATAACATATACCACTTGGGGAATAATACTTCTGTATGTGCATGTATTTGTCAACAGATTAATATGCAAGCCTATGGTACTGTTGTAACACGTCCTCTGAAGGCAAACGGAGAAAACATCCCTGTTACTAATGAAAACAGACAAGGTAATGTCTACTAGTATATGTGTCTGTTTCAACTTTGTGTGGTACAGTAGTTAGCGTGTTCACTTTGCAATTAAGGATGTTTGTATTTGATTCTCTCAGCCAGCTGCTAACTAAAATCTAGCATTTCTGCTATTCTTGACCTGAATCTCTGTCATACATAGATAGCTTGAACATAATAGTTTTTCAGATTTGATTCAAAATGGCAGACTGAGATCCATTTGGTTTTATATATACATCATGTATCACATACAAGGATAGCCATCATTCAAACTTGGTACATACATTGAACATAATGGGATCTAGATTCATTCTTTTTTAATTCCCTTTCGGACACAGTTTACAAAAAGATTTTGTTCAAACTTGGTACTTACATTGAACATAATGGGATCTAGATGCACATTCTTTTTTAATCCCCTTTCGGACACAGTTTACAAAAAGATTTTGTTCAAACTTGGTACATACATTGAACATAATGGGATCCAGATGCACATTCTTTTTTGGTCTCCTTTCGGACACAGTTTACAAAAAGATTTTGTTCAAACTTGGTACTTACATTGAACATAATGGGATCTAGATGCACATTCTTTTTTAATCCCCTTTTGGACACAGTTTACAAAAAGATTTTGTTCAAACTTGGTACATACATTGAACATAATGGGATCCAGATGCACATTCTTTTTTGGTCTCCTTTCGGACACAGTTTACAAAAAGATTTTGTTCAAACTTGGTACATACCTTGATGCGCATCATTTTGTTTTTCAGATCGGATTTAAAATCGACAACCAGTGGCCATTTTGTTTTAATTAATGCTGTTTCAGAGTAATACATGTATCTCCCAATATGGACAAGTATTTGTTCAATGATAAGATACAAGATGACTGAATGTCAACCATTTTAATGTTAAAAAATCACAATAATCAAGCATTTGCTTTTGGAAACATGCTGCTAACATGTTTATGTTTCAACTATATTACCATAAACAAAACTATACATCTTAAATTTGATAACTAACAGATTGGATTCAGAATGGTTGTCTGATGGACATTTTGTATTGCAGAGCCATATCTCTGACATGTCTTGACTGCTTGCAGTCAAACTTTACACCTACATTATACATTGTGTCATTCAAATTCTGATTCAAAATTCCTGACTCATCTTGATTTTGTTTACTGTTAAACAACAAGGATAGTGACAATTTGTATTTCATTTTATTTTCAGAATATGTTAATTTGTATGTAAATTACATTTTGACTGACTCAGTGTACCACCAGTTTGCTGCATTCTATTATGGGTTTCACAGTGTCTGTGCGTCTAATGCACTTCTCATGTTGAAACCTGAAGAAGTAGAAATATTGGTTTGTGGCAATCCAAATCTCAATCTAGAGGAACTTGAAAAAGTTGCCACCTATGAAGGTTACAAACGACATGATGCCATGATCAGGTTTGTTTTTATTGGTACTATGTACCATAAAATCTGTATTAGAAGCCGCATCCCTAATAGAAGTCGCATCCAATCTTTTTGTACAATTGAGAACCAAAAATTCATCATTTTTCATATGTGTAGATGCTCTAATATAAGCCGCATTCCCTCTGTTGCTTTGTACCATTTTAATAGAAGCCGCGGCTTCTAATACAGATTTTACAGTAGTTACAATATGGTTTATACAATGCGTAAATACATACAAATAAAATACATAAGTCATTTACAGGAATTCATACACCTGCTACATGATAAATACAGAGCTCTAATACCGCTTCAAAACACGATTTCCGACCTTGCCAAGATCATGCGGTATGCATGAAATCAAACGAGAAAACAACACAAACAAAGGTCATAGAGTCGTGGTACGTCAAAAAATGCATGGGATTTGGAAGTAGTTTTTGGGGTATTTGGCGCTTAATAGTGTGCTGTACACATTTGATGGTGGAAAATTTTGATGAAGTAAGAGTATCTCAAATGTGTGTGTGTTTCACTCAGTATTGTGACAGTGAACCATTAAAAAAAGAAATTAAAAATCAAAACATTTGATTTTGTTGGCAGAGGTTTGATCTGCACATTGCACAAGATTGCACAGTAAATAGAAAATCAACTACTTATTGTGAGAAGCAGTATTTGGAGGAGATGCCACTGAAAGTATTACAAAATGTATCCTCGGGGGCGGAGCTACGTCACAAGACGTTCCACGTTGCTACGACGCGCACCACTGTACATGCATTTCTATGGGCTCTTTGCGCGCTGCTGTGGAACGCCGGTAGAGTCGGTGAAAATTCGAGAAAACAACACAAACTCAACTTTGAAGTAATCCCGAACGGCCAAATTTATATATGTTACACACGTAGGGCTAATCTTGTTGCACTGTTCAGAGGAGTCTCAACAATCATCCCAAAGTACCGTTTTCTGCGAGTTTTGGGCCTTTGTTTTCACCGCCGCGGGTTGCCAGGCGGTGAAAATGCCCGGATGTCCGCCCCCGAGGATACCCTGAAACCATACATATAAAAACAAGAGATACTGTTGTCATGTCACTAGAGGGCGATATTCATAATATAGAACTGGTTTTCGTTCATAGATATTTCTGGGAGACTGTAAAGTCGTTTCCGCTGCATATGCAAAAGAAATTGCTGTTATTTACCACTGGCAGTGATAGGATACCGATCGGAGGAATGTCTGAGATGTCTTTTAAGATAATGAGAGTAGATACATCACCAGATATGTGAGTATTTTATATGAATTCTTGTTCATGAATACATTGTCTCAGATTATCGCAACACGCTTCATGTCTTTCATAAGAGACAATTAGTGATTTTACGCCATGTTAATAATTAAGTATCATGAGGATGTTTGACTTGACAAATAAAAATTAGAAATATTTTTAAAACTTATTCTGGAAACTTTGTTCAAATTAATATATTGTGTTACGTAAATCATTCCCAATAGTACCGATAGTTATTTTACCATAAATCGTAACAAATGTTATCAGTCGAATGCTGGACCAAATATCAGGCACTCTGGATTGGTGACCAATTTGTAGCTTTGAATCAATACATGTACTCATCTGGCATAGTCTTTTCACCATCAGTCCCCTCTTTTCATCACCAGTTCCCTCTTTTCACCACAGGTCCCCTTTTTTCACCACCAGTCCCCTCTTTTCATCACAAATTCACAATATAGTCTGCACTTTCTTTCATAAGATTGGGACAAAATAGCCAATTTTATTAGTCCCTGTCAGACGTAGTCCGAAATGAGGACTTATGTTTTGGGTTCCGTCCTTCCGTCCTTCCGTTTCTGCGTCTGTAGTCTTTTCTCAGAGACGCCTAGACAGATTTTCTTGAAAGCTGGTACAAAGACAAGTCATAATGGCAGACATGTGCACATCAATTTATTTTTTATATTCATATTTGGTTGACCTTTGACTGACCAGTGGCCATTTTTGACCCCAAAACACCAAAAATCAACATTTGAACATGCCATCAACTGTTTCTCGAACATGCCTTGATCGATTTCATTCAAACTTGGCATTGACATCAGTCATAGTGGATTACTGATGCATGTCATTTTTTTCGTGATTCGGCCATTTAATTTTTTACGAGCGTTCGGCTCATTTTACAGAGATGGTTATACAGATTTGGGTTAAATTTTGTACAAAGGCAAGATATGATGGGTTAAATGTTGTTTTCAATTATTTTTCGTTTTCATCGAAATTTAGCCGAATGGCGGCCATTTACGTCAAAAACGAATAAAATTCAAACATGTCATCAACCGTTTCTTGGACATGCCTTCATCAATTTCATTCAAACTTTATACCTGTTTCATGCACATTTGTGGCTAATATGCTAAATACTAATATTTAAACATAATTTGACTATGCTTTTCATTATTTGACAAAGTCACTAAACACATGACGAAGACAATGACATTGACAATGACTTGTTTAGTAAAAACTGAAAATTGACCTAAATTTCATCTGTTGGCTCCAAGATTAAGATTCATTCAGAAATATTGAAGAATATAAGAAAAAAGTGAAGATAAATTTGGGTGAGAATTTCTGGTGGTGAAAAAGTTAAAGCATATTACAATTGTCATACAAATCAGTTGTCATGTAAAGTTTGACGTGACATGTACATTATGTGTAAAATATATTTGAATGGGTGCTGCATGATGCATTTGAATCTCACATACTGTAAAATACTTTATTTTTGCTTGGAATAAATTTTTGCTGAAGGAATGCTTCAGTGAAAATAAAATCCAGCTAATATACCTTAACACCCAAAAAGTCTTCTTCAGCGAAAAATAATTCCAGCTAAAATAAGTATTTTACAGTAATCAATTCCATCCCATAATTTACACTCCTCCAATACAAAAATACAATCATCTGTTTCTAGATTATGCTAAAGTCGTTATGAACATCTTTCTTTCAACAGGTTACCGATGGCGCACACATGTTTCAACCAGTTATGCCTACCACCTTATAGGACGAGAAAACAACTCAAGCAGAAATTGATAATAGCGATCTCCAACGCTGAAGGATTTGGATTGGAATAATGTAGTGAGGATGATAATAATCATTTAATTTTTTAATTATGTTTTGTAAATTAATTGTGCATAAGTTAGGAATGTTGATTTTATATTGCTTAAATCAAGAGTATATAAGCCTGCCTGTTTGAAACAAGTTTCTGTGGTTCTAATTCATACATATTTGTATTCACTATTTCTCGGATGAACTGCTTAGTCCAAAGATGGAATAGATGCATGTCAGTTTGTTCCCCAATATGATCAAAGATGGCTGATTGGCAACTATTTTTTTTAATGTTCGGTTCAATATATGTATTGCCAGTTTGTGAATAGATACCTCATTGATAGTAAATATTGATAGTCTGTTTTGCATGAATGGGGGGACTACTGGTATGTTTACTCAATTATGCAGAGAACACACTATTAATAGAATATTGATTATTCTTACTCAATAATGGGAAAAAAAATTTTTTTTAATAGAATATTGATTTTTTTGCAATAATGCGAAAAACTCTCTGTTAATATAATTGATTGGCGTATAATGATTGGACATTTTAATCCACTGCTTACTTTGCATTTTAATTATAATACTGTTCCTCCTTTACATTCCATATAATTTTTTACTGGTATATTTCCTTTATTTAGAAGTGTAATATAAATTGTACACCAAAATGAACTGAAAACTGCCATGTAGATACTGTAAAACCTTCTGATATCAGTATGAGTAGAATTAAATAAGTAAAATATTCTATTGAATGTTTACTTTCAATTTAGGAAAAGCAGTACTTTATTATTACTCCGTCCATTATCACTTTGTGCGTTTTCTCATGTTGGCCCCATTAACCTTTTCACCACCAGTTCACAAAATAAAAGATTTGAACAAAAATAGCCAAATTTATTGAGCAAAATCTTAAAATTGATGCAAATTTTGACTTGTGGTTTCTAACAAGTCAAAAATATTGCTTTTTACCAAAAATGACAAAAATATTCATCAAAATTAAAGAATTAAAGATATCATCACGAAACGAATAAATCTGAGAGAGGTCCACATGTAGTACCTATATATGTAATATCAAAGCAATTGGATTTGTGGTTTTTAACAAGAAGTCTAAAATATCAGTTTTTACCAAAAATGACAAAAATATTCACCATAAATAGCGAATCTGAGATTTTGACATAAAATGAACAAATCTGAGAAAGAACTATCCAAGATACTTGCATATCAAATTTGAAAACATTTTGAATTGCGGTTGAGTTGAAATTGTAAAGTTGACGATGATAGATGACGACGACAGACAATCAGTAATATGAACAGCTCCGCTGTGTCGACAGCGGAGCTAAAAATATGAAAAAAATGTGCAAGAAAATTTGATGAAGACTGGTGTTGAAAAGATTAACAGCTATGTAAGACCTGGGGCCAAAGAATGCACAAACCACTAATATGCAATTATACATATAATGCTTTATAAAGTATACTTGAAATGTATGGTCTCTAATGTATATCTATATTATCAACATGATAATTATTTGCATGTGTTTTGTGAGGTCTTTGCAGTAAAGTATTTTTTTTAATTTTTATATGACTTGGCATGTACTGTATTTTCCAATAGAACATGTATAACTTATTTTAGTCATAGACAATTATATACTTATAATAGAGCAAAGGTATGTGTTACATCCATATACTGTAAAATACATTATTTAAGCTGGAATTGAACGACATTTTCGGTGTTTTGTTCGGAATTTATTTTCACTGATTTTTGACAAGTTGAATTTAAAATATATTCGCTGGATTTTATTTTCACTGAATCATTACTTCAGTGAAAATTAATTTCAAGCGAAAAATAAAGTATTCTACAGTAGTGGATCTGTTATTACAAGAGAATTTTTTGTCTTGATGCTTATACACTTCATTCTGTAATTGTTTTCTGGCTTCACTAATGAGTTTGTATTGTCTTGATTGTTTTTTCAATATTGTAGATAATTGATAGTCTTGGTATCATCGAAGTAGGCAGCATGATTACTTTGTAGGTGATAACAATTTTAGTAAACTCCTGACATTTACACTGTCAGTGTGATAACATCAAATTCAGAAACAAGAATCCTCTCGGAATCAAGTTTTGTATGATGCATGGTCACAATACTTAGAACCGTGCACAATGCAGACATTTTCATCGATCTGCTTAGTTTGAATTACTTACAAATAATGTGTGTAAAATTCAATGTATGATATGATGATCAACTTGAAACACTGTGAAATTGTCAGTAACACTATCAAAACTGCCAGTCAAAGTCAAATTGCATATGCTGTGGACTTTGAAACACCAGCTGCATTTCAAATCTCAGTGACAGCAATTGAAATTGTGCATTTTGCCAACACACCAAGTCTACAATGTTGCAAAACTATAATAAAAAGTCAACCAATGTTTATAAATTCACTAGTAGAGTAAAAAAAATAGTTACAGAAGTGTATGAACATTTGAGACAACATTTTCGTTCGATGTAACAACTGTACAATATAATATACAAAGTATTCTTGTATATCGTTTTGCAGCCTATGATACTGGTAAAGATACAAATTTAACCATCTTACTATTGCATGATAATTTCATGCTGTCTTGTACATAGAATTCACAGAAGGGCATTTCCAATACATTAGGTACCTATCGATGCAAGATTTTGCTGATTAATATGTTGCATAATATGTAAAATTTGCATTGAGAATTTAATAGTTTAATAAGAAATATTGATCTCAAAACAAGTAAAGCTCCATACCTCACTGTGAATTCCTTAATTGCAATACTAGACAAATGAAGACCATATTTAAGTTTAGTGGTCTTGTACCTTGAGCTAATTACTTAAAATAGGTTTGCAATGAAATCATTGTTGGTGTGCCTTATGACTTATTCCATCCACACATTTCACGTCTTTTGAAAGAGCTAGTTGTTTAGCCTATTTAATCAGTTTCATTCAATTCAGAATTAAGTAATTATTCAGTTAGTGTTTTTTCAGAAGATTTATGATGTTTTAGTTGCTACATAGCCTAGAATCTAGTTGTTTTTTGATGTCTACATTGCAGACCCTCTGCAATACATTTAGCATTTATACACAGTAATTGTAATCATGGTCAGATATTAATCAAACTTTAATTGTAAATGCCGTCATCGTAAGCATTGTTAATCTTTTGAAGAGTGGGTATGATTATGGGGTAATCCCTAGCTGCATGCTTCATTTAAACTTGTCAACTGGATTTTTACTTCCAATAGTTCATATTTCACCTGCCTGTAATCATAGACCTTAAAAATACAATATATTTTTTAAGGTCTATGTCGTAATATACAATGTTTGAATATGTTTTCATTGGCTCGTAAGCTAAACTGGACAATGAATAGAATGTTTTACCACAGGACCATGGTTTTACTTAATATACTAGTTTGACCTTTCATATGTGATGCTTGAATAGACTACTGATGATGCTCAGAGGTCTGTCTTGCAAACCTCAAGACTATGCATAGATTCTAGACGATGGTAGTATTATTAGACCATATTTTACACCAGTATACTGTACACCGATTAATTTCTGCTGCTCGGAAATCATGATTTAACGATTTTAAGGTATTGGTGAAAAAATTTTGTGAAAGTCACTGACATTCCGTTAGTATCGGATAAATTACTCCATTTATGTTCATTGAGCATTTTGTTGCTTTTTAATGATCTTATTACGTGTGATTTGACACAAGATAAAACGTCCTCAACAAAATTTGTTAAACTGCATGACACAGTCCTTTTTAATAAAATTTTAATCACTGTTTATCTGTATATAGCCGACTGTATTGTCAAATTACCGGTATACTTTGAAGTTGTCTAATACTTGAGCTTTTTGCTCAAACAAGACTAGTATTTTTATTGTACCATTAATATTTCCATAATGGAAAACATGTGGTCAAACTAGTACTATGAACCCTATTATGTAAATAGAACTTAACGTAACGTGTATTATCAAATACTTCTTTCCATAAATTTTCTGTGCAATAATGATTTGAAAGTAGTTGAATTATAAGATTTAATAAATCAAATTTTAATTACCCAACGGTATATGCAAGCAATCACTTGACAATTTTGAATGTAGTTTCTAAGTGTTTAATAATTTATTGTGTGCATGACAGTATTATTGTTCATGACCTTATTTTATAGGAATAAAAAAAAAATGTGAAATTTTGCATTAAATCAGCGAAGGGCAAGTAGAATGTAAACTCTGCGAACCTTAGAAAAGTTGGCACTAGTTTGTAATCAAATCTTGCACAAATAAAATGTACGATTGGAGCAAGAGTTATGATTGACATGTGTAACGACATAAATTTTCAATTAGCTTTTCAAGCCAGTTGAGACTAGCGATTAGCTGCCATCTTAAAATCAGTGTTCATGGGAAATCAACATATCATTATCAACATTTACACATAGCACAGACTAATAAATAAAAAAAATTGAGAACGATTACACATTTTTACCAAAATTGAAATAAAACATTAATGAAAGTGTAAACTTCTGACAGATTGTCGGTACTGCAATTTTTCTGTTCATTGATCCCATGACCAAATAATTATTTTGGGAGGTGGCTAAATTGTAAGACTCAAAGGTGTTAATTTGTTTTATTTCTTGCCATTAAAAAGAAACATTAAAATGGATTGATCACATTTGATCATGTTGTAGTTTTCTGGCTGGTGGTTGAATTGCTAATGAAAAATTACTGTTTTAGCAAAAAGCAGGTAGTCCAACCATAGACCTCATTTTAAGGTCTATTGTCCAACTAAGGGAGGGAGGGATTACAGGTAAATAGCAATTTATCAACTAGGTTGCTGTAGCATTGGTAATTATTGAACCATCAATTGCAATGAGAATGTAATATATATCAAGGACTGGGACACGATAAGGATACAATGTGTGTGTGTATATATATATATCTCTTTAACATTTTCATTTGGTTGTACATGTACATAAATGTTATTTATTTACAAGAGTGTTGATAAATGTGTGTGAACAGATGTGTAAATAAATTTACAAATACATCACAGTGTCTGTCTGGTTTTTAATTCTTTTGTAATAGCTTCCAATGGCAGGTAATTGCGTTACAAATATTTCTACTTTAATACACATAGATAATGGAATTAATTTGACCAAATTGGATAAATAAAACAAAATCAAAGAAAGCTTAGAAAGAACTGTGAGCTGAGAGATTTGAATAGCTTGTGTGAGAAAAATATTCATCAAAATTAGAGAATTGAAGATATCATGAAATGAAGCATTCAGGCTTGTAGTTTCCAAGAAGAAGTCGAAAAAGTAAAACATTGACATGGACGACGGACAATCACTCATATGATAAACTCCGCTCGACAAAGTCGACAGCGGAGCTAAAAAGTCATGCACAGAGGAAAGTACATAACAAATCATATACAGTCAAACTTGTGTGATCAATCAAGGCAATTTATAAAAAAAAAAACCTTATAGACAGGGTGCTAATATGTTTTGCTTTGGAAATGTAAAAGTGTTCATTATAGGAGTGATTATATAGAGGTGATCACTAACACAGATTTGACTGTACTGAAAACTGACATAATGAGAAACAATTCATTTTTGTAAAATGGAGACATGACTTTTACTACATCACTGTACACAGCCGGTAAAATTAGTCCTCTATGTCCTAAGTTTGTTGACAATTCAAATAATGTATCAAAAATTGACAGCATACATTGGAAACAGTAGTTATGTACCAGTAGTTGTAGCATTTTTTTTGTGTTATTTCATCACAAATACGCTAAAATTCAAAACCAGGAATTGCGTAATTTACAAGGCAAAAAAAGTGTCATTAAGTACATTGTATTAAAGAATTTACTCGTGTCGCAACAAAGGCATTTCTTTATCTTTACAAGTGTTTATAAATTTCAATGGCA